TGACTAAGTACGTATGACTGGTCCTGTATATAGGTCAATTGCAGTGTCTCTGTAGTCACATGGTGCCTGCCTCGCAATTACAACATTGCAGCATCCCTCAGTTATTGTCCTTTGTGATCTTTTATACTGGCTTCCTACAGGCAAAGTCAATAGGAAAACTGGCAAGAATTCACAAATAGCAACCACATGATAATCTCTCTTAATGACCCATGGAGACTTGACTAATGATGGCAACTGAAAATGCTGGAATGTTTGTTGCTTCAGAGGCACAGTCATGTGACTTCAGCTTTTATTACTTCCAGTCCCAATTACCATTATGTGAGGACTACTTGTAGACTAAAATAATAGAATTTTGAAAGTGTAACAATGTTTTCCCTTCCTTCTTGATCTGAATTTCTTTTCTCCCACATTTAAAACACGTTTTTGTACCTGTGGCGACATTGTTTATCCAAGGTCATATCTGTGGCTCTCCCAATAAGCAAGCTGTTTCAGAGCATTCAGAGATACAAACATAGCAGTTTTTGTAGCTCCTTAAAACAGCCATGCCTTTCCTAAGATTTCATGACTGTCCTTTGCAAAATATCTTGAGGAAAAAAATGTTTGGTTTAAGGGGCTGCAGAGAGTTGGCATATTTGCACCTATTTGCTAAAATACACCTTTTTTGCCTTTAAATTAAGCTATGGCATAGTCATAGTATTTGCATAAAAATAGAAAGCAAAAGAATATAAGGTTTCCAGGCAGAATATTATCAATGACCTAAGTATTAGTTTTATGTATATTCTGGGACAAGAAGGCCTATCCCTTCAATGTATCAAAGGTAATAGGTTCAACCTTTATGAGCACAGAAAGAATCTCTTAGTCAAGGCTTAAGCCACTACTGGATAAAAAGTCTGTACTGAATCATAAGATACAGCACTCAGTAATAGTTATAGGATACTAAATAAACAATCAACATAAATCATACTAGGACACTAAATAAAAGAATTAATATAAAGCATAAGATACAAGCAACAAAGTTATAGTCATAAGAAGATAAGATTAGGGTTAGGGTTGTTGGTTGTTGGTGTATCTGAGAAGAAAATGTTGACATTTTCTCTTTCTCTGAGAAGAAAATAGTTGACAGTGGTTTCATCTCTAACTTATAGTAAAACACATTCAGGTCATCATTTGGTTGTTTGATTCCCTTCAGCATGGAAAGGCGGTTTGGTGTAACCAATGATATTTTTAAGAATTTCCCACATATTTGCTGGTTTATTTGTTGAGAGCTGATTCCTCAGCTTCTCAGAGTAGCTTTTTTTTGCTGCTCTGATCTCCCTTGTTAATACATTTCTGGACTGATTGTACAGCATTCTATTTCCTTTCCTGTAGGCTTCCTCTTTGGCATGATGTAGCTGCTTGAGTTTAGCTTGTTGAACCAAGGCTTGCTGTTATTGTCTATTCACAGGTTTACGTTTGGCACACATAGGTCTTCACAAAAACTAATATATGATGTTACAATATCTGTGAGTTCATCCAAGTCTGCAGAGGTATCTTTGAAAACGTTCCAATCTGTGCAACCAAGGCAAGCCTGTAGCTTTAACTTTGCCTCCTCAATCCAAGATTTCACTGATTTCATTGTTGGTTTTATGGTTTTAAGTCTTTGTCTATGAACAGGTACAAGGTAAATCATACAATGAACAGTGTCCCACAGCTGCTTATGGTAAAGGCCGATAAGCATATTTTAATACTGTGCAGCAGTGGTCTAAAGTATTCTTGCCTCTAGTAAGACAGTTGACATACTAAAAGTATCTTGGTATAATGTCTCTAAATCCACATCATAGAATTTCATTAGTGGAGTTACATTTTTGTACTATCAGTTGTTGATATAAAAGTGGAGTAAAATAATGCAGTAATAGTATAAAGGCATTGTGTCAATATATATTTAAGCATTACTGCATAACAAATAATGAACATTTGTTTTTATTAATGTTATTTGCAAACTATGAGTTTCCTTGATGATTTCTTTTACTCTGACTTTGAACATCAGGAACCTAGAACAGCAATCCAACCCTTAATAAAGGAGCAAGAAGAAGCAGAATCATTGCAGAAAATTATTAAATATCCACTGATAAGCGTAGCACAGGGGTGTCAAATTTGATTTCTTTGAGGGCCAGATCAGCATTGTAGTTCTCCACAGGCGGGCGGGGGGTGGGGGGAAGGCAGGACAAACACCTCCTGCAATACTCTGCTGGCCAAAACAGGGCACAGGGGGCATGTTCAGCCCCCAGTGCCCCATTTTCAGGCTGGATGGCCTCCTGCAGCACTTTGCTGGCATAATGGGCCACGCGCGGGCCGCAATACCTTTTATAGCATTACTATATTCTTTTACTCCACTTTTATATTAACAACTGCAAAAATGTAACTCCACTAATGAAATTCTGTGATGAGGACTTACATTAATTATCAATTGCAAACCATTTTATCCTTTCCGAGAGTTTTTCTCATTCATACTATTTGCATATTGTATATTCCTCCACAAGCTTGCATAAACAATGCATTACAAACTCTGGCTGACCAGATTATGTGGGCTGAAGAGAGATACCCAGACTCACTCCTTATTGTGTTAGGAGATTTCAACAGTGCTAATTTAAGCCAAGAGCTACCAAGATACTTTCAGTATGTCAACTGTCTTACTAGAGGCAAGAATACTTCAGACCACTGCTGCACAACATTAAGATGTTTATTGGCCTTTACCATGAGTAGCTGTGGGACACTGTTCATTGTATGATTTACCTTGTACCTGTTCATAGACAAAAGCACGCGGTCCCCCATGCCCCGTTTTGGCTGGCAAAGTGCTGCAAGCCATCCAGACTAAAAACACTCCCCCCATTTTGGCTGCTAGAGGCAACTTGGGCTATTTCTAGGCGGCCCTGTGGGCCAGATTCAGCCCACCAGCCTTGAGTCTGACACCCCTGGTGTACCATATAAGTAGCTAGGATATTATTTATGACTGTGCAGTTCAAAAATGATTCTCCATTGAAGTGCTTCAGACCTTGCATGAGGAGAGGATTTATTTGCTATTGATTAAAATAGCTTTTTTGAGGTTTTCATCAGATTAATTCTTAAAGCAGACAAAACTTTTTTTTTTTTACAAAAGTCTAAGAAGAAGAGGCTACTTTAATGAAAAAGAAATAATCTGCTGACACAAGGTCTAAGTTCTAAAAAAATTCAAAGCATTTATAGTCCAAACAACTTAAGTTTAAAAAGTTTTTTTTAAATAAAAAAAGGTTTAATTTTAATATGGTAAATTTTTTAAAGAAGTGAATTGGACAGAAATGCAACTCTTTCCTAGGATGAGTTTTATTACTATCATATGTCTATTTGATGTTACTTCCAAGCTGACAAAGTTCGTATAAATTAATATTCTCAACTTTGAACAAAAGCATTATTATAACCACATAAATTGTGGATACGTAAAGTACCTCTGCCAAACGTCATTCTATTTAAACATAACGCTGTTAACATTATTCCCTGTAAACATGGATTTATAAACCTGTTTGGGCTAGGAAGTTAATCAGGATTTGGCCTTGGTAATAATGAAAAATCACTTTTAAATTTTTGCCAAAGAAACTGCAGCACAGAAATATGTCTACAAAGTCATTCGGAAAAATTAACTGGAATGCAGTAGTACTAAAAGCAGTGTAGCACTTATGTTCTGTATCAAACTAGCATGGATTCATATGAACTTTTTAGAAGTTTATTTTCATAAATATGATTTTGTTAAGTATAGAGAAGATTAAATTCTAGACGCCATCAAATTTAGATTAACTCTAGTTTCAAAATGCTATTTTGAATTGGAGTTGAAACTATGAGGTGTCCAAAACTACATATTAAATTGCTGAGTGTGCTAACTTTCATATAGAGAGCTATGAATAAAACTTTATATGCAATGTTTTATTTCCCTTTGAAGTATATTTTGTGAACAGACTTCAGAAGAATCCCCAAAATATCATATAGATTTAACTAGAACTTTATAATTATAATAGTGTTAATAAAATATTATCTTCATCTAACTGTTCAAGTATAAAGCATGTTGAAATAATCTTATTCCATCTGAACATCTGAATTCACTTTGCAGGATATGGCATGCAGCTGCATTTAGATTCAAAGCAAGAGCAACTGCAGTACATTGACCCATTGAATATTACAGTAGGTTTTGAGTTTCACGTTAGTCGGATTTATTGGAGAAAATTGATTTGAGTGCTTCTGCTTTTGCCAGAGTTTTTTAATGTTCGGAAGAAAGGAAATAAGACATGCATAGGATGTGACTTTGATGTGCAACAAGTTAATTATCTAAACCGTCTAACAAATCTTGGCTGGGGGAAGTAATTATTTTTAACGGTACAGGGTGGTCTGATGAAATGTTTTCCGCATCTCAATAAAACACTTCATATTCTTCGCAGTTTGGGAATGAAACTTCCCACACTCGGGCCACGTTATCTTGGCAAGTAATGAAAACTTGGACCAAAACGGAAGCGAAATTTCCCCTGCTTTTCCCTTGGTTTTGGGCAATAATGAAGTCGCTGGTCAACGAAATACAAAAGCGTGTTCAGGGAAAAGCCGAGGCGAATTTCCTTCTCAACCGAAAGCGCGCCTCCTGGCGTGGCCAGTTTGTCGGCCTGGTCCACGAATCAGAGGCGACGCGTCTTTCGCCGCGACTCGCGCAGGAAGCGCCGCCATGGCTCTTCCCGGCCGCTGAGACGCCGCTTCTGCCGAAAGGGCTGCTCAGGTACAGTGAGGGGAGCCTCGGCCCGCCCAGGCGGCCGCGTGCGCGGAGGAGGGGATATAACGGAGCCCCCCCCCCCCCCCGCCAAGGGGAAAGTCCCGAAGGGGCCCGCGCTTCCTTTCGGAACAAGACAGAGCCAATCCTGTTCTGCCCGGACCCTTTTAGATTGAGAAACGCCGGGATAGCGGAGTCCCTGGTTTATAAACGAAAAGGTGGAATTAAATGCCGAATAAGCATGCATGACAGTGAACATGTGGCTCTCCTGGGCCGGGAAAGGTCACGTGCAGGCCGCGGGTCTGTGCCAATTTGCTAACCAGCTTGCTGGCTTGGAATAGCGGGTGGAAAGCGTCTGTCCTGCCGCCCACCGTCCTCGGCTTTGCCGCGCCGCTGGCTCAGGCGGCCACGTGGGACTTATGGGTGGCGGCGGCGTCTTGCTTACAGCCTCCCAACTGGGGTAGCGGTGGCTTCTGTATTTCAACTACTCTTTTTTTCTGTTCTCGGCCCCCAAAATGGAGCTGAGAAACGCCAGCATTTCCAAAAAGCAAACCTAAAGACTGAAAGGGAGGGCTTTTCTTCTCGAGACAGAAAGAAATCTTAAAATTTGCCTTCTTACTGAAACAGGTGAAGCTAATCCTCTCCTGAAGGTTCCATCTGAGGACCGAGAAGGTCAAGATCTCCGAGATAACCCAGCTGTTTTTTATTTTTAAAACAAAGCGTTGAGATAATTCTAGCCCCATTCACAAGGGGCTTGTGCAGTTTCTGACTCGGCCACCCCTCCATCTTATCCTTGCATATTTGGAGAAGTGTGCAGCTGCTTTGTTCCTGCCTTAAATTGAGCGAAGGACTATAGAAGAAAGTTTTCTTTTAATACTGTTTCAGCCTTAGTAGTACTCTACACTAATTCAAGATTAGAGATTTGTATGGGAAATTTGTTTTCCTGTTATTCAGTTCTATGGCAAGTGGTTAAAATGGGTAGAAATCAGCAAAATGAATTTTGGTAGAGAGAATTGAAAGTCCTACACTGGATAGAAAGCATCACAGGCTTGAGTAGAGAATGTACTGTGGGGAAAAATCCATGCTCAGCTGTATGAGCAAAAAAAATGGTTGCCTTGGATTCCAAGATGAATATAAATTAGCATCATGAAGTTCTAAAATGAGAAATGCATACAGATAGTTCTTGAGTTACAACTGTAATATTTTACAACAGTTTTGTGGCAATTCAGTTGCTTAGCACTTTGGTCACTAAGCTGAGGACTATTACCTAGATTGACAAAATGTTTTTGTCAATAATTGTTTTATAGCCCCCTTTGATAATCTGACCAATATCTAAAATATTGCATCCAATTCTGGGCATCATATTTTAGGAAGACAAGAGATAACTGGAGCATAACCGTGAAAAAGCAGACAAGATGATAAGAGGCTTGAAAAGAAAAACATGAAGGAATGCTTGGAGGTGTTTGGTATGTTTAGTCTGGAGAGAAGATGACTGGGGAAACATGATAGAGGTCTTCAAGTGAGCTTTTAAAAGTTGTTCCAGAAGATGGGATAAGAAACAATAGGTGTAAATTACAAGGAAGTTGGTTTTAGTTGAATGTTAGGTTTAATCTTACTCATGGTAAGAATTCAGCAGTGACACAGACTGCTATCAAGAAATGCTGGACTATTCTTTCTGGCGGTATTAGAGATACTGTAGTAGTAAATTTCCAAACTAAATATGGACTTGGATTAGATGATTTTCAAAGTTCTTTCCAACCTTGCAATTTGTGATACCCTGATATTACATGAAAAACAGTTGAATCATCAGCACCTTTAAAGTGGCTGAAGTTTCAAGTTTTACCCTTAATTTGGAATAACTCTTTGAGAATGTTTGTCTTACCCAGTTTCAACATGGAAAGTGCAGAATGACTTGGAAAAGAGCATTTCTGAGGTGCTATTAATGGAAGTTTGTGTTTGTAGCCTTATACCCGTGTAGTAATATAGATAGCTTTGAATGGCCGGTTAAGCCTCCAAAGTCCAAGGTGTTCATTTTAAAATGATTACCCATCCTCTGAATGAACACCTTGGACTTTGGAGACTTAATTGGCCATTCAAAGCAATCTAGGAAGGGAATTCAAACTTGTTAGGGATGCATTGAGGATAAATTAATGGTGCCATGTCACAGGCATTTAAAATTGAACAAAAATATTGTGGTGAATGCTGACATCTATCAGCCTGGGAAGGGGGATATAGGAATTAGAACCTTTCTTCCTCCCTCCCTCCTTCTTTCCCCCCCCCTCCCTCCCCCCTCTAAAAACCAATGGAGGCAAGGAAAAAAGTGTGTGAAATTGATTGCTATGACGCTTGAAGATGACAGCTTTGAGGAAAAAACCTCAGGATTACCCTTTCTGATTTTATATGGGGGAGGGGGATTATAGATAGATATAGGTAGATATAGATTAAAGATATAGATATATGTATACACATACACATATAAACATACATATACACACACATATAAAGAATATACTTAGAGTAGGATATAATAATTTGAAAATGTATTTTCTGAAACAGTTCAGAGAGACAGAAGTAAATTTATAATGTAGTTGTACTCCTAGATGTTTTCTAAGGAAGCCCCAAATTATAAAGACAATAGTAACAATTTTTTAAAGAGTTCTTATACACACACTGAAAAAATCTATATTCTCATATGAGAATCTGTCTGTCTGTCTGTCTGTCTGTCTGTCTGTCTGTCTATCTATCTATCTATCTATCTATCTATCTATCTATCTATCTATCTATCTATCTATCTATCTATCTATCTACAGTATCTTACCAATATTCTTATGAAATTTTGGTGATTGATTGATTAATTGAGCCTGAGCTATCCAATGTACTCTTTGATATATCTTGTTACCATGAGGTTTTACTTTTGGATTCAGACGTGCAAATTCTGTAAAGATTTACAGACTGATTTGTAGGATTTTGTTTTACTTTTATTTAGTACTAAGTATAATTTGTTTTTATGAATTCTGTCAAAAAGTGAAAGTAGAAAAACGTGAGGCTGAAAAAAGATTATTGTTTTAAGGGATCCACTCAGTAGCAATACCTCTTCAGGATCAAAAAGAAGAGTGAAAAAATATTATAAGGGACCAAGAAAAGCTCTGTGCTTATTCAAAATGTATAGCAATTCCTTTGAATCATTTTTGAAGATTGCAGAGTCCTAATGTCTGTGTATTTGCCACCAGGCAAATAATGTTTAAAGGGTCATCTCTTAAGCTCCACAAATTGATCCCACTGAAAATCCCAATTCAGCTCTGATATCTCATATTGGAAGGACTCAGAAAATTGTTACTGATTAATATTCACTTCAGATATTAGGACTACAAACAATTCAGAATTCCAAAATGCAGAAAAAATGCATTTTATAATATATTTTTGAAGTTAATAATGCATGTATTTACATTTAATACTTAATTGAACATGTTATCTACCCTGTTTCTCCAATAATACGGCCTCCCCCAATAGGAAGTCCCAGCATGTTTTATAGGCATGAAATGAAATTAAGCCCCTCCCCCCAAATTAAGGCCTATATTAAAACATGCGAAATGGGGGGGGAAATGGCGGGGGGGGGGGCTTGCTGTTAGGAAGTACTTTTGTTGCACACCCGGATATGGTGCTGACCCTGATACAAAGTGCCCCACCAATGCTGAGGTCAACATCCAAGCTGTCGTCGCCCGCCCTAAGATGCAAGGGGGGGAATTAAGTCACCCCCAAAAAGATGGCCTAGCCATTTTTTCGGGGCTCAAAAAAAAAATAAGACCCGGCCTTATATGAGAAACACGGTAATATTGATGTCAAAAAGGGATAAAAATTTAAGGCCGGTTGAATTATATCAGAATCAGTAATTACTGTACAATGATATAGCTAATATAATTCAACTTACATATTAATATTACATATTAAATATTGACTTCTTTTAGGTTAGCACTAGAAAAAATATTAGATGTTTATGTAGGATGTTGGTCAAAATAAAGCCTGAATTGAAGTCACATTAATATTTATTAGTATGAATTATTTTTGCCTGCCTGTTTGATAAAAATGTGTCCTGAAAATTTTATACATGTTGAAGAAAGTATTGCCAATTTTTGGTTGGAACACAGTTAGATTTGAAGGTTTGTGGGGTTCATTTGCTATATATTTCATGTGTTGTCCTTGTCTGCTATTTACTTAGATGAGCAGTACTGGATCTAGTCCAATGTCAGCTGTTCCATCTAGCTGTGGAAGAGGGACTGGGAGATCAACAAACTTTATTCTAGAATTGCAAAGTATGATGTGAGTATAATTCGGTTTCTACATCTTACAATATTTATGGCCAGGCAATAGTTAAAGAAAGGTTTGATTAATATGTATTAATGATCTGATGTTGTAAAGGGTAAAATGTGTTCCAAGATTGAATAAACTAGTAAGGATGTCCCTTGACTTTGAATGGTAAACAAAGCAATGCATATAAAATGCTATGTATATTTATAATAGCTTTACAATTTTCTACTTTTGTTTATGATTAACAATAAAATAATTGTGACTTCCGGTGGCGCTTCCTTTGTGGACGGACTGAAGACCGCAATTATGCGCGGTTTCTATCCATCCTCTCCCATCGGAGGGCTCCGAATGGGGCCAGAATCACCTTGTTGGTGTGGTGAAGAAGGGGGAGACCGCCAGCTGGGTTGAGAGGAGCTGCATTTCCCCTCCCTGGTTAGGCATACTCCCTCCGAAGATGGGCTGGAGCGGTGATCAAATATGGCACCCTGAAGAAGGGGAGCTAACTTGGATAAAGATTGTGCTGGAGCGGTGAAGAAGAGGACAGTGAAGACTGGGCTAACCAGGTGCAACATTTGGATACAAAGGTACCCCAGAATTAAGATATTAAAGACATTTTTAAGGAAGACAGTAAAAGCAGCGACCAGAGAAAGTGGGAGGGGGGGGGGAATTGACAGCTGAAAGTGGCTTTGAACTTTGAAAGGATAAACTCGAGGAAGCCAGAAGAAAATACTTGTTTAAATTGGATAAAAATATGATTTTGGCACTAAATAGGCATAACTAAAAGCTGAACTTGAATGTGTCCAAAAACCAAACAACAGTAACTGATAATTGGATTTATTGGTTTTTTGAAATTTAAAAGCCTTGAACAGAAAAGAAAGTGGAAAAAAAAGAGGTGGAATTTGGACATAACAGAGAGCGCCACCTAATGGTAAAGGAGAAATTTTAGTGACTCTTTAAAAAAGAAAAAACACTTAGTTCTTTCAAAAGTGGAACTTGATACAAAATAAGAGAAACTTTGTTACAATAAAATAGAAATCCTAAAAAATGAAAAGTGAAAACACAAAGTATTAAAATAAAATAAAAACGTGAAGAAATTACTCTGGGACTGTTTGGTGATTTTGGCATAAATTTAAACTTATGGATATTGGACTATGATGAATTCGGAAAAAACTTAAAGAGGAATTATTAGAAGCTAATTGTTGGAAATAAATATCAAAGTGGAATTAAATTACTGGACAATTGCTGACAATGCTGGTGGAATTAAATTACTGGACAATTGGTCTGGATTTAAAGACTAAAAAAAGAGAAAGAAAATATAAAAGGAGTGTTTAAAAATGGCAGAACTTTTCTTGGAACTAAAAATGGAATTAAGAAACATGAAAGAAATATTACATGAAAGAGATGAGTCATGCTGTCTTGCCTTACAATAATTAGAACTGGCGATTCTGGAGTATGAAGGGGAGGAGCTGATCAAAGAAGAGGCCAGCTTCAATGAACAATTAGAGCAACGAACATTAAAGCGAAGGGGGAAAATAATTTGAATTAAAACTTGGAGATTTTAGGAGGCAATGAAAAAGGGTAATGTTTTGAAAGCCAAACAAAGTAAAGGGAAACAGCAGAAAAGGGAATTACAGAACAAAATTTTAAAGAGGGAGGAGGATAAAAATTGGAGTAAGAAATGGAAGGAAAAAATGAAAGGAAAAAGAAGTATTAAGAGAAAGGACCAGGAAATAAAGAGATGTGGAAATTGAACAAAAAGGAAAAGAAATTGTGTAGTTAAGAGACATATGATAATGGTTAGATAAGGATTAAGAAAGGGGATTCTGCAAGGTAGCGTGGTGTAATATAAATGCATTTGAAGTAATAAATTATTTAGAAGATAGAAAAATATAGATTTTTAAAATGAAAAGATTGGAACTGATGTCCTCTTGTTACTAGACTACTTGTTTTTTTTTGTTAAATTATACACAGAGATAAATGGAATAATGTGAAAAAGAGAAACTATGATAAGTATACTAAATATGTCTAATTAAGAATATAGTTAAAATGAATCATGAGGATTGTTATAAAAAGATTAACATGTTTTTAATTGAATAGATTAATTTATTTGAAATTACAAATGCTTTTTCAAAAGGGGTTGCCAATAGATCCTGTGGGCCATCTCCATTCCATGATACTTTTATGCCTTTTAATCCGAAGCCCTGTACCACCCTAGTATAGGTCTGCAATCATGTGAAGAAAAACAATTGGAATTCACAAATACCACTGGATGTTCTTTGCTGGAATGTAGAGCAATTAAAAACCAACCAACTGGATTTACCCTTAAAATATCTGTGAACTGAGTCCCCAATCTTTATTTGGATATCATAGTAGTACATTTTGTTTTTTGTTCTTTTGTAATACTTTGTTTCTTTCCTCTGACCCAGCAATGATACAAATAGTACGTTTTGGTATTTGGCCTGGGAGGAAATAAAACAACATTTCTTGGATTTGGAAATCAAAGGGCATGAATATGGAAATTATGGATAAGCAGCTGAGAAGCATATTTTTTATATAATTGCAGACTTCCTGATTAAGCACTTTTGAAAGTATATATCCAATTCCTGTTAATACATGACTTCTACAGAAATAGAACATGTAGACATTTTCATATTCTTTTAAGATCAAGGAAAGTTTTGATTCTAAAAGTTATCCAAACAAATAAACCTGATTCTAAAATAATTTTATCTACTGTTTCATTAGCTTCATTGGAACTTATGGAATTCTTTTAGTAAATTTATTTATTTCTACTCTGTTTCTTAAAAGAAGTCTTTAGCAGAAATAAAATTTCATGATAAGAATAGACTATGAGCAAATTTAAAATTATTTTCCTTGGCTTCTGATTTATAGCATTGACCCCCAATTGTTCTAGGATTCCTCAGGGCTTAAACAACAACAATGTAATATATACTCCTGTCTTAAAGCATATTTATTTGTACAAAAGGATATTATTCAATGAAATCAGTCTTTAAAGATTCAGAAATGGTTTTGTCATAAAAAGATAATAATTGAATTTGCACACAGACATACTGCTAGTTCATTTTAGGTATGTTGCTTGATACTACTTAAGTCCTGCAGTTAGTCTGCTAGATACAGCAGGACTGCCTAACGACTTTAAAATAATTAACTATTTTAGAAACTTATCTCCATGGTGGCAGTATCTTGTTAAAAAAACATCTGAAATGATTAATCAGGATTGATAGCTGTTCTTAATGATCTCAGAAGCAGTTTTGGAAAAGATCTAATGGGGATTATGAAAAAAAGAAAGATTTTCTGATGATTCTCCACATATGATATTTGCTCTACGATCTAAAATATAAATTGAGGAATGGAAAAATACAGAAAAATTCCAATTTTCCTACTGTTATGCTCATGTTAACATATAATTTATGTCAAGACATGAATATATACACTGAGTACATTTCCTTCATCTCCTGTAAAGAATAAAGCTACAGTACAAATTAATAAAAATAATAATAAACATAACTAAAATTAGCAGACTGGAAATTGTAAATGTAATGGTTTTGACTCCAGAGAGGCTCATTTCAATTATTTAGTCTTTCCATTATATATGAGAAATGTATTGAAGCTCATAATATATTGGACTATGTACAGCATAAAACTGATACATTCCATGTATAGAAGGATTATTTTATACACCCACTCCTTATATATGTGGCAGTAGCTCTTCAATTAAGAGACTGAGAAAGGCTTTTAAGCAGGAAAATGTCATTGCCTACATACTGTATATGTTGGCATTTTTGCATTTGGGGAATGAAAATTACCTTGAGTGTGTTGCCGGTACTTCAGGTGAAGGCAGTGACTAATGAGACAAAGAGAAGCAGGATAGGAAATCTCTAAGATACTAGTATTTAACTATATTGCAAACTATTATCTGTATTAATAAACTGTGTTTTGTCAGTATTGCAAAATATACTGTATCAGTAACAATTAGAAATAATTCATATTTTGAAAATTTATTCTTCACTCAAGGTAATTATTTTTTCTTTAAAGCACTTATATTGTATATTTTGAGATCTGTATGCTAAGAAATGTCAAGTAACATTAAATAAAAGACCTTTCAAAACATAGGACTTTAGTTTCATAATCTTTCTTGGGGAATGAAACCAAAAGAGGTAATAATATCCAGAAAGAAATATTAACTACTGCCATAACAGTGTTAAATGCAAAATAATGTTCAGACATGAGCCCATTATTATGCTTATACATTCAAAATGTCATAGGAGCTGAAAGAAAAATGGAAGCTTACATTAAGTGAAAACAGTGCAAGCTTACAGCAGATCAACACAGCAGAAGTGTGTCTATAATAAACACTTGCATAATTTTAAATGTTTGCTTATAGTCTTACTTTGGGGAATGAAAATTAGTATTCTGTATAACTTTTTGTATTTTTAGTTCTGCTTTGGTATTGTTCATTGTTTTAATGAAAAGACTAAACTTATTTATGTTTGGTATTGTACTTTGAACATGCTAGTATAATATATCATTCAAGATAATTCTTTAAGGTACTTTTAATATAAAAAACATTAAATAAAACCATGTGAAGATTCCTCAGTAATTCATTCTTTTGTCTGTTTTCTGTGGATGGTAGTTGCGGGGGGAATAGTGGCTCAGCATTTTTAAAGCTTGATCTCATCAGTTTTCTAAGAAAGGAATGGCACATTATTTGTGGAATACTATTGTACTTAAATCAGATTATGATTAGTTTGACCACCTTTTATTTTACTGGCTTCAAGTTAGTGTTGACTACTGGCAACTGCTTGGTCATTTTAAATCTCTGCAGTTTTCTTGGCAAGATTTTTCTGAAAGTGTTTTACCATTGGTTCTTTCCTTGGGTTGAGAGAGAGAGAAAGATTGGCCAAAAATTACCCAGTTGGCTTTGTGCCTGAGGCAGGATTAGAAATCACAGTCACTTGATTTCTAGTTTGGTGCCTTAATTACTACACAAAACT